GAGATTCAAGGTGAACTGGGAAGGGAGAAGGAGATGTGAACATGACTTTTGTTTCTTCCCTTCTCAACGTCTGTATTTTCTCTTTCATGTTTTCCTCTTTCCTTCATCTCCCCATTCTTTCTCCTGTTGAGACTGAAGCCCAGGCAGCTGTTTCTGTGATGAAACACCAGGAGTGACATGTGTATTGATTTTAGAGAGAGGGGAAGGGAGGGAGAAAGACAGGGAGGGAAATAGTGATGCGAGAGAGGAACATTGCAATCAGTTGTCTCTTGTATGTGCCCCGAATGAGGACTGAACTCACAACACAGGTTTGCGCCTCGACCTGGATTTGAACCTGTGACCTTCTGGTTTATGGGATGACGCCAGCCAGAATAAGTGTAACTAATTTCTTGGCTAGAGAAGAAGCCGTTTCTCCAGGTGCCTCCCCATCCCCTGGGGGAGGTGGTAAAGATGCCTGCCTGGGACTGCTGTATGTGCTATTCCTGTGTTCAGCAGAGAAATTGAGGAGAATTTTACTACTGCTAAATTGCACTACTGCATTTAATGAAAAAATACTTTTTCTTTGAGTCTCACCTCTTTAACCCATTTTATAACTCATTTAGAGTGAGAAGATCCTTCTATTCTCTGGAAGTGCCCTAGAATAATCTCTAGGAGTGCAGAGTGGTTTTCTTGCTCTGACTGTGTCACTATTAAATAGTATCATGCTACACCTTTAATGTATTTCTCACTGTAATGCTTTTAAATGATTGCACTGAACTTTGAGTGATGACTTTGGGTTTTGAATTAGGGTGGAATTAATGATGGGGGCAATAGTTGGCAGGGTGAAAAAATAGCAATAATAATTTAAAAAGCAAGTCCAGACTACGGGACTCTGCTATGAGGAAAGCTGAGCAGGTGTGCCAAAGTGCAATTGATTACGGAATGGATAGAGCTGGAGGGAGACAGAGTGGTTGGTTCCTAAGCCAGGGTACAGCGAAGCTCTAGTTGGCTGGTGGGTGAGAGTGGGTTGGTGATCAGACAGGGAAGGCACTTACACCCAGCAGTGGTTTTGATTTGTTTACCTGATGACCCCTTACTGTTACTAAACTCAAGGGGTTCACCACTCGGGTGCTCTATTCAAAAACCGGGCATGGCTGTGGCAAAGTGGTTTTATTTACTTGTAGCAAGTATAGGAGATGGGCAGGGTGGGGGCATTCATACCCAAAGCTCTGCCGCCCTAGCCGGAGGCTTAGCCATTGCTCCTCTGCACCATTCGGTCAGTTGCACATTACTTCTTTTCAGTTGGCTATACTTATCCCTTAAGTTCCTGTCAGCTCATCTGCAGTTGCTTCTGCAAAATGCTGTGCTACATTTTAACATTTAGCAAGAATAGCATTTAGAACTGCTCAGGCCTTGAAACCCTTGCCCTATCTAACATTACCATTTATAAATGAAAGAGATCAGCTTTTTATGTATTGGAAGCACGGAACAATAATTAGCAGCAGGGAGCTCTGATTCTTACGTTCTTAAACTGAGGGCATCATAATTGCCTTTGCAATGACCTGCATTGGCCACAGGAAGCTCTGTATCTCGTATTCCCTATGCTTTGCTCCTCGATTTTGCTTTGTTTGATATGCAGGGAGATGAAGTAGGTCAGAATCACACCACCACCCCCAACCTGTGGGGTTCGGTGCTGACGCTGCAGTTAATGCCACTGTTTAAACCATTTCACTCTGTGTGTGTGAAGGCCCATTCATATACTCTAATGTGTACTTTCCAAACCCTTTATTTGGCATTTTCTTGAGATTTCCTACACTCCTAGGGGCTGATACAAAGTGTCTATTTTGGAATAGAACCAAAAATAATTAAGTAGAATGTACTCTATAGCTGGCTAACGTTTTGGCTCAACTACCTTTACAAAGTGAGTGTGTTATTTGAAACATCACCACTTAATATAATTGTTTAAAAGTTCCCTTGGTGTTTGTGTTGTTTATTTTTAAAATATTGGCTCTGTGGTTGGTAACACCATATTAAATGACCAACATTGTCTAACATATTTATTGGTTGTAAGAAGACCTTTGCCTTTTGCAGAAATGTACTGAGAATACACCTTATTTCCCACTGGTGAAGGAAGTTCTTCACAAGAAAATCACAAAAATACAGGATGTCCTTATGCAGTTTGCTCCTTAGCTGAAGTCCTGCTATTTAATAGACTGGAAAAGGCAGGTAAAATTGGGGAAATGGGGAGAGAAGAGGGTGACTTAGAAGTTTCCACAGGCTGCTTTCAGCATTGAATGACACAACCATTGTTTGAACGGTGATTTTCCTGAGTGTACATTTTATTGTTGACAGCAGAAAAATGTCAAAAACATAAATTAAATTGGCCCCCACTTTGGGAGTGTACACATAATTTTTCAGACAGCTTCTAGAACTAGGTTTGAATTTTCCCTTGCTAAGCATTTTGTCCGTTGTTGAAAATTACTGACCACCAGTATTTTATTGATAAATGTGACTTCTATCAGTTCTGTGGCTTCACCTGAAACAGGAAAGGCAGGAGATCTGACTGCTTGGGTCCCTTCTCCTCCATGTCGACCATCAGCTGGAGCTGGACAGAGCTGCCTCCTTTGGGCACCGGCTCTTCTGTGGCCTCTGCCTTGCTCCCTCGTGTGATCTTCATGACGCCTGTAGGACCTTGAATTTAACTTGGGTTTGAATGGTTCTTTGTCGATGAGGGACTCTGAACTCTCTTCCACAGCCCCACCCCCATCCAGCCTCTTATCCCATCTGGATATTGCATCTATGCATTTCTCTACCCAGAAGGCCCCCTGACACCAGAATTTTTTTTTATCATTTCCTTTATTGCCTTCTCTTGCCAACCTCACTGCTATCCTCTTGGCCCTCTCGAGGGTGAATTGTTACTCCTGCTTTCTCTCCAGCTTCCACATTTGACAGCTGCCAAGAGCTACTTCTCCCTGGCTGGCCGTGTTCTCTCCAGCCCACATGGCCTGTGTCTGACTGTGTGTTCACCTCCCGCAAAGAGATGCTGGCCCCAGCCTCTCTTGCCTAGAAATAAGAAATAAGGCAGAAATAAGGCTTATTTCTGGCTTCTGCTCTCATCTGTTTTGTAGGCAGAGACAAGAGAAGTCCGAAGCAAACTCCATTTCTCTTTTGTCACTTTTCCTTTGAAAAAGTGGCTTGTATTTTTTGTCAGTCATTATCCCAGATGGAATCCATGTTTCTCTTTCCACAAGGCTTCCGCAGTTGCCTGCACATATCGATTCTTTCCAACTCAACTTGCTGTTTCTTGATTCGAGTTCATCCATGTCTCTTGTCCTCAGCCTAACATGGGTCTCCTTGGCTTAGTGTGTGATCACATGTGATGATGAATGTGGAGTGCCTGGCACTCGGTAATCAATAAGCCAGCGTTTCAGAGAACATCCCCAGCCACGTCAGCGTGGAGCCGTGTACTCCTTGAAGGACAGAATCCGGTTTTCCTCATCTTTGTGCTCTGGTGCTTCATAGAGTGCCTTGCACAGATACTAAACATTCAAAAACATTTGCTGAAAAACGAATACAGGATGTGACCAGGAATGGCAGAAATTGCTTGTGATTAGTGTTGTTACGATGTCACAAATCTTGGCCATCACAGCACGAGTGGCACCCTGGTCAACTGTGTGCATTTGTCTCTGGGTCGCTGCAGGTGCCTGATCACCTTCTGAAGACCGTGGCGAGAAGTGTGAGGGTTTTTCCATAATTTTGTATTCTTTGGTTCTTTTTTGCCTTCTATTGCTCTGTCATCTACTTAGGGATACATAATATATTCATCACAGTCACATAAAAATGATATTCAAATGAATACTCATGACCTTTTTTATTTTTTTAAACTTTATTTTAGGAATTTGGGTCCTGTGAGATTCTTCATTTCTTGGTGTTGCCATTTTCTTAGTTTCCAGTTGGGAACACAAAAAGACAAATACAATCATTGGAGATTACTGAGAGTTTTCTCCAAACTCAGTTTATTTGAAGGTTTTTTCCAGCAGCAAGTATAGCAAAAGGAAGGGAGTCAGTAATATTCCAGTAACTGTGTGTGATGTCAGAGGGGCGCGAGATTTATCAGGACGATCACTTAGTAAGTTATGTAATGTCTAACCACTGGGGTGTACACCTGAAACTAGTATAATAATGTACGTCAGCTGTTACTGAAGATAAAAAAATGATAAAACAAATAAATAAACAATATTTCTGTCACCACCACCATCCCCATCCCCATCACCATGAATACTGACATTAAATCTCGTTCAGATGAATTTTCCCAAGAATTTGCCTTGGTGTTCATTCATCTCCCACTTCATGGGTTCACAAACAGTTCTTGCTTCAAAAAGAGAAAGTGCCAGGATAAGCAGTACTGCATTCAGTATGCAAATGTAAGCTTTATAGAAAGAGGGCTGTGCTGGAGATGAAATTAATTGTGACAGTTCAGGACAGTTTTACAGAAAGAGAGGATTAACGTGTTAGGCCTTCAGTAGCTGTCTTCCCTGATGCAAATAACGTGAGGCAAAATGAAATCTCCGTGTGCCTGGGCTCCATGGGGGGATGTCCGCCGGGCCCATGGCGATGTGACAGCCTGCTTTCCTTTCTCAGTGTGGGCGTGGACTGACCCGTTACCATCTCAGTTGGAAGCCACGATCATGGTTCTTTTCATTTCTTATTTGTTTATCTCTTGTTTATTTCAGACACTTTTACAGAAAATGTGTTGCTTATTCTGAAGTTGCTATGATTCATCAGACCAGAATGGATGATAACATTGTATTTCTTTGAATATTTGCATATGTGTAAAGGAGGAAGATTTTATATAGAGTGAGACCAGATCCAACTTAACTGGTTTCTTTGATTCTTTTCCCTAGGCTAAGTAAGAGAACCTGTTATGCCCCACAAAGCTTGATTTTCTTTGGAATGATTTTTGCAATGATAATACAGAATAGTTATTTTTATATATTCACTTTTTTTTCTTTCTCTCCAAGGAAACCAACATGTCTGACAAAAGTGACTTAAAAGCTGAGCTGGAGCGCAAAAAACAGCGCTTAGCACAGATACGGGAAGAGAAGAAACGGAAGGAAGAAGAGAGGAAAAAGAAAGAGGTAAATATCAAGTGTCGGGCATTTGTGGCGGTGGGAAAGGAAAATCACTTGATTCTGGGGGGCCAGTTACATTGATAAAAAGAACTCTCTAAAGAATCCTTTAATAATACTGGATATGCAGTGTAGAAATAGCCTACATCTTGTAGAAAAACCAGATGTTGAAGATATTTTTTAATAGTTTTCCAAGAAGGAAACTTTGTATATCATAACATGCTTGTGTGTACAGAAACCAGAGCTGCTTCCTTACTTAAGAGTTTTTCTTTAAGGAAAAAATGGAATGTATGTTGATGCCTCACAATGTAAGTAAGTGTTGTTTTGTACCGTAAGGCTTGGGAGACCATGGTAACATACTATAACAATTATTTGCCGGCCAAGTAAAACATGATTGCCGTTGCATATTAGACTTTGGCATCTTGCGTCTCTCCATTCCATTCCACTGTGATTGATGCCACTGTTTATTTGTCCTTGACTCCCCGCGTCCTGTTTCTCCTTTGGAGATCTTGGCTGTGACATACGCAGTCCCTGAGCGAAGTGGAGGTGAGAATTGACAAGGAATGGCTATTTATTTACATGCAAAGCCAAAAAAAGCATTAAGTGATTATGCTTCCTTTCCTTCAAATGTCAACACTTAGTGTAGTTTTAAAGCACCTGTTATCCGTTGCTAATAACCAGTTTCCTTTGAAACTGACATTGTAATATCCAACTTGAATTTCACAGAATTACCGCAAAAATGCTGTGTGATATGGGGAATCTGGTTCCGAATTATGTTGTCTGCTTCATCCTTGTTATTTTAGGTTGATTGAAACAGGCCACCCTTTCTGTCTCTACAGCAAGCAGGCTTGCCTGCTGGAGATTTGGCTTGTCACACAGCCCCGGAGCCCCGGGAGGCTGGGGGCCGCAGGTGGTGGGAGTGTGGAACACCTGCATCGTGGGCGTTCCTGGGCCTCTACTGAGTTCTGGAGTGAAAGTTGCATACTCTCGGTTTCCTCATTTCTAAACAGGGAGGGTGGGTTAAGCCCGTGATACCCTGACCCTGCGCCATGGAATCCCCTTGTAATAAAAACTCATAGTCTCCCATCTCGAAGTTTTTAATTTGAAAGATCCAAATAGGGCCAGATTCGGGGATTCGCTGGACTACATTGACTTTAAAATTGGCCCTGGCTCTAAATCCTGTCCCTCCGCAACTCATCCCCTGCCAAAAGCGCTTTTCTCCATTCAGTCGAAGCGCCTTTGGTGGGCGGTGAAGCCTTGGTTGGTCTGAGCAGCCGTGCTAGAAGATGGAAGACAGTGCCCTTCCTGGTTACGCACACAGGCTTCTCAGTGGAGCAGGGCTGGGGAGCCTAGCCCTGCCCTTCACAGCATGGCCTTGACCGGGTATGGGACCTCTCTGAAGCTGCCTCTCTCTGTAAAACGGGGAAAGAGTGGTGCCTTTCTCACGCGTTCTGAGGCGACCTAGGAGATAGATCCGGCAGAGCAGTGAAAGGCGGAACGGGTGCTCTGCTCCCAGCTGTCAGGGTGGAGGGTGCAGCGCGTGTTTCTCAGGATCGCTGTGGGTGAGGCCACTTTCTGAAAATGCCCCGTTATTGGAAGGGCCTTAAAATTCAAGGCCTCTTGTTTCCTGGGATGCTAGCATTTTGTTGCTGGAAGAAACCTGGAAATAATCAACTCTGATCCCTCTTTTTCAAATGCTCTTCGAGTCCAGAGACCCGAGCCTTCTAGGTAGCTGCCCTGTGTCTCTAGTCTCAGGAAGCCCCCCACTCCCTCCAGCCAGTGTCCAAAGCAGAATTCTGGGTCATTCTTCCACAACCCCATCCCCACCTTACAGTGAGCATCCTGTCCCAGACAGGCACAACACTCCTTCTGTTCCGCTTCTCTCTGTTGTCCTTCACTTGGCCATTAACTACATGTCTTTCAGTTTTCATTGCAAATGTCACTTCCTCCAGAAAGCCTTCCCTGATGCCTTTCTGCATCCAGGACTAAGTCCTGCATGCGACCCTCGACCTCATCAAACCGTTGAGCGCAGAGCACTAGATTTGCCGCCTCACTTGTCTTTCTCTTCTGATAACAGGAAAGCTTAACATCTAGGGCAGATTCGGCCACTGCAGTAGGCCCTCCGTTAAGGATTGTGCAGGGGTGGGGCAAAAGCAGGCTTACAGTTGTTAGTATGTGAAACAGAGTTTATTCTTCTATTGCCATTTATGAATGATTGTGTTATTTATTTGTCTTATGATGGTATGAGTTAATGTAGAATACAGGAACTAGTCAGGAATACAGGAACCTGAGTGCTGACTGCTGGCATCCTTTCCATGCAGCTGGGGTTACTTCCTGCGAATTTCCTGGGAAGCTTGTGATTCTGAGTCTATGAGATGCTCCAGTTAGCTGCTCACCCTCGTTAACTCCTGAAGATTTTCTAGTTTTCATATTGTCTATAGAGAGTTAGAAGTAGCCTTAAGCTTATAGGTTTGATTTTAACTTTATTTAGGGTTATACTGTAAATAAAATGCAGAATAAGAGGGAAACAAAATGATCATCGATGCTAAACTGCGTACCTATTTCTGCCATGACTGAAAAAAAGTGGTGTGAATCAGGACCACCCAGGCTGACTGTCTCCACAGAACCCAGAAAATTGTGTACGTGTATAAAATTACCTCTCTCTGCTCCTTTGGATGTCAACTGCTTTCTTGGTTGAGGTATTATGGATGAAATCTGATTTTAAAATAAATATCGTGGCCACCATTGAGACACAGACCCAATTTCATGAAAAATTGGCTTGAGTGCAATGAGGTGTGCTTAATGGGGCCACCCTGAAGTTGCGTCCTGTCCTTGGCCTTCTGCCGAATGGCTGCCAGGTAGGATGGACAGAGGTTTCCTGGCCTGTGCTCACTCGTTCCTCTGACAACCACAGAGCCGTCTGCGGAGACATGACTGATAAGGCTCAGCTGACAATTTTTTCTTTGTTTGATTATCCTCTCTGGGCCTCAGTTGTAATTACCTTTCACAAACAGAAATATCATCTGCTGGGGAAGACAACTTTGCATATTTTTTTTGTAATTTAAGATTTTTATTATTTATTTATTTTCAGAGAGAGGGGAAGGAAGAGAGAGGGAGAGGAACATCAATGTGTGGTTGCCTCTTCCATGCTGCCCACTGGGGGGATATGGGGACCTGGCCCACAACCCAGCCATGTGCCCTGACTGGGAATCGAACCAGAGACCCTTTGGTTTGCAGGCTAGCACTCAGTCCACTGAGCCACACTAGCCAGGGCCAACTTTGCATATTTTTAATTACTAGTACTGCAAAACCACTCTTTATTGAGTCATTAAAATATATTAGGTTTCTGTAGTATTTACATAAAAAAATAAAAGTTTCATGATTAAGGTACTTGGTGTAACTGTCTTGGATGAATAATATTTTGTTTAGTTTAAGGTGCTAATTGGTAACAGATAGGAACTGCCTTTATTTTCAGTAATCCCAAGTAACCTAATTTTATGTTTTCCATGGTCAATTTGAGTGCTGATAACTTTCCTAAGCTTCTGTTACATCTAGATGGACATTTGTCCTTATTAATAAATGTCATTATATTCTCTGTTTCTTTAAGAATTAAAAAAAGTGGAAGGCAGGGACTGAGTGGTAGAGGCACCCTGTATTGTGGGAGTGACATTCCGAGGATGGAGTTCAGGTGTACTTTTCTTGCACAATGTGTGGTTACGCATGTCAACATGTGATTTACCCTCTAGTATGTTTCTTGAATGCTTAGTGATTAACATTAGAATAAATTTAAAAAAACAGATTCTGTGTCTTTCTGCATAGGACTAATGTGACAGAAAGTTATAGGTAACATGCCCTAAGTTTATTCAAAAGGAAAAGGTTAGGTAGATCTTTTTTTCTGTTCACTCTATGTAAGCTGCATTGGAGCTTCTTAGTTTTATTCCTGCTGACACTGTGCTGTCCTTCAATTAGTTTTTGTTGAAAGAATGAGGTAAGGTTAAAGTTTTTTTTTAATCTTAGAATATAGAAACAGCTTTGGTACGAGCAGAGGGTCACTGGAAGTCTAGATGAGTCACAAGAGTGGTGTTGTGAAGGGCTTTCTGAATGGACCACAGTTGGTGGACATTGGCTTGAATGATGTATCCTAAGATTCTATAGCTATAGAATAACATTCCCCGAAGGCAGAGATATTCATTCATTCATTCAAGATATTTTTTATTGAGCATCCACTATGTGTCAGGCCCTGATCTAGATGGTGAACAAAATAAACATGTATCTGCTCTCAGTGAAGCTGGTGGTCCACCTATGGCTTAAGGCTTCACTGTAAAACCTGTTACACAATCCCACGTTGGCTTTGAAAGGTGAATTTTGCTCATCTTTGTTTTTTTCACTCGTATTTCATAGCTACTATGGTAATTCCCTTTTCTTTCACTTCCCCTGTTTTCCTCCCATCCTTCTTTTAACTTTGTGCTATGCGAATGTTGCTGTAGATCCTCACTCTGCAAGGTCCTTTCTCATGTTAGTTCTACACACACATTTTGGAACTTGTTTCAGTAGTTTAACTGTTAAAACCAGAACCGATAGAGATTTCACTGTCATTTCAGAATTCTGAGCCATGTGAGACTGCCTAAAATCCTCTCGTACTCTCATTAGCCCTCACCGAGCCCCAGAGTGGCACTTTTCCCCCAGTGACAGATAGACTTCAACAGTATGAGTGCATCTGAAGCCCCAGGCAAAGAGGAACAGAAGTGCTGAGCTCAGCACTCTATGCAAAGATGCCCTTTGCTTATAATCAGGGTGTCGGTTCTCTCTGGGAGTAAGTCAAAAGTGTGTGAACTCTTCCTTCTTTGGATGCCAGGATGTAAATTACGCTTCCCTGCTTTGCAACGCCCTCTGCGCTCCTGGAGGAGGTGATGTTCCTGTTAGGGTGCCCGCCTTGCCCCTGGGGAGGAAGGTGTGCCTGATAACTGGATGACTGGTTTTTGACGAGCTTTATGACGGCTTCACTTCTCTAAACTCACAGAGCTTTGTGGCCAGGTAGCTGCACATTGAGCAGGACATCATGTTTCAGATGTGGGGCAAATGCCTTGTGTTAGGAAGGATCCGTGTTACGGAAAAGAAAACAAGACCTGAATGTTTAATTTTCCCAGACTCATACCACTGACCCCTTAACCTGTGCTTGGACTCGTCATTGTCCTGTAAAACCCAAACCAAGCACAGGGTCTGATTGTCAGAAGCTCACACAAGATGTGAATTTTAGACAGAATTTGGGAAAGGAAGTCCTCCTAAGTGACTTTGTGTTCTGTATTTTTCTACACAATCATTTTCTCTTTTGAGTTACTATGTATAATGGAAGCCTATGAAAGTCAGAAGTAAGAAGTAACACAATGTACAGTAATATTATTTACATGCCTTAAAAACATTTTAGCCTAGTTTATTTTATTTCATTTTTTATGTTTTATTTTAAACCATGATAAACTTAGATTGCTGGTGCAAATAGTGTATTTTACAGGAACAGCTTTTTATAGCTGATTTTACTTGTTAGCAAGATCTCAGTAATTCCTTGTTTGCATAGTCTTAAACATAGGGGGTAAATGTGAGTGTTACAAATACACAGTCATTAAGAACTGATAGTATGTTTTCCCAGAAGGTCAAGGAGGTCTAAAAAAAACCAGACAGAATTTTTAAAAAATTGATTTGCCTTTATGGTTTCTTCCAAAACCGGTGAAAGAAACTTTTATCACCACGTGACAGAGACAGGAAAAAAGCCTTCAACTAAAAGAGAACGCACTGGGTTAGCAATTATTAAATGGCGCAGTTACAGTCTTTTTCCATCCTTGGTACACATGATTATATCTATTTAGGGCTTTTGCCTGGTCTTCGCTGCCATGCACTTGCCATTTTCAGCTTCAGCCAGGAAAAGCACACGTGTAATTCTGTTATTAACTCCACTTGCTGGATTCTGATTTGCAAAGGCTGATCTGCAGCAGAAGAAGGAGCCCGCGCAGGACGACTCGGACCTGGACCGCAAGCGCCGGGAGACGGAGGCTTTGCTGCAGAGCATCGGCATATCCCCGGAGCCCCCTCTAGGTACTTAACCATGCTCTGTGGTGCTGTTTCCTTAAATTTGACTTGCATGGGATATACCATGTCCAGCATTTACTATTCTTTTATGTCTGTTTTATTTTTACTTTTTAAGAAATCCCGTGGCTTATGGTTCAGGCGCATTTATTTTTGGAATTGAGGGGGCTGGAAGGAGACGGGAGCAGCGGTTGCAGAGCTGTTAGCCGTTTGCTGCGTATTCACTGACAATGTGGTCAACTGTGTCCACTCTGTTACTATTAGACTATTAGATTGTGTTGTAGCTCTTAAATGAGCTGCCACATGGTAAATATAAGAAGTCTTGGAATTTCTTTATTAAATATTTCATTTCCATTGCTGGATTCCGACCTCTCTCTGCCAACCTAAATATGGTGAACCTGGTTATGAATTTCATAACCACCATGGCCATAGTTATGCCATGATGGAAATAAAATGTTCAGTGGGGAATTTGAAGGAAAACTTAAAATGGTGACAGATTAGCAGCTAATTAACAAGTTTAAATTTATTCGACTCTATTGTATATCTTGGTTTTATGGCTAATTGGCACTTTCACTACAATACCTCTCCTCCAACTCATTCATTCCTTGTTAATTGTCCATGATCTCATTTTATCACTTGAGTTTGGATACTGAACAATTTGCTTTATTTGTACAGAAGGTAATCTGTACATATTCTGTTTATTCTGCCACTTAACTATATATTTCTCATGTGATAAATTATTTTATTTTTCTTTATTCATTTGCTTTCCTTACATTTCAGAGTAATCTTAGGGTGTCTGTAAAACTTTGTAATACCCAATATAGTTAAAAAAACCTTTTAAAACCTTTTGAAACTTTAATAATTCATTAAAATAAATACAATATTAGGTCTTTTTAAAAATGGATTTGTTGCCTTTTAAGTCTATTATTAGCTTTTATATTGAAATAAGTTTTTACTGATTTCTATAGATACTTAAACTAAGAACAAAAATTATCCCATGTACAATAAAATAACAATATTTATATCAATGTAAATAATACGAAGAGCAATATATAATAAGCCCACAGATTAACTATTGGTGAATATAATTTAACATGTACAAACTAAACTAGAACACCATGAATAGCATTTTATGCTCAACCTCCACTTGTGGTAAAATCTTGTCTAACAATGATTATAAGAAAGCCCAATAAGATGTTGAGTATTTTGTTTAGCTCCTTATGGTGTGGAAGATGTAACCTGTGGGATACTCACCTGATGGACCTTCTTAGAGGAGGTTTACAAACCTTTTTGTACCTAATTGACATGTGATATAAATCAGACACTTTGTAATCAATTATATTTCCCCCTCAAAATAGCTTTGGACATTCTATTGCAATGTGAAGGAACACTGGTTAAGTCCAATAGTAGTTCGTCCTGTTCTTCCCTACTCTACATAAAGCCAGCAATTAAACTTCAAGAACAAAACAGTTAAGTGTCCCTAACCCATGACCAAATTCTGAACTATCCTTGCATCCCTCCCAGCCGGCCTTGGCACGGGTGGACCCCATTTTGAGTTTTCATCCATCTCTCTGACTCACCCTCTGACTCACTGCAGAGGATAATCAGTGAATTAAATGTGAGACCACATGAAAATTCCTAGTTTCTTGACAGATCTGCCATTGTGTTATAGGATTTGGACAAAATAGTTAAGCCTTTTACTCTATTAAATAAATAAAAGGAAATTGCACATGATTGAAACCAAATGGGAATCTACACTCGTGTCTTGAAGTTTCTGCCCATCTGGCCGCGCTGGTGCGTGTCACCCAGAGAGCCCACTGCGCTTGTCTGGCCTGGAGCCGTCCTGGCTGCTTGGTGCAGCTTCTCTCTGAGGGACGTTTGGCTCATATCTGAAGGGTAGAAAAAATACATTTGCATTTTCTTCAGCTTTTTTCTTTTATTATCCTTGCACTCAGATTTTCAGCTTGCACTGACCTTGACCTCTGAACTTGTTTCTGCTCTCTTCAGGATGGCAGGTTACTCTGTGCACCTGGCAGTTGCAAAGGAACACACGTTCCAAACACAGTAAACAGCGCAACGGGATGAAACTATTAATTAAATGCAAAAATAAAGCATCCTGGCATTTTTCTTTGTTTCGAAAGAGATTTTTAAATTACTAGGTTCAGGATCAACCCTTTCTCTTGTCACTTAGTCTCCCTTAGCAAATGCAGTTTAAAATCCACGGACGAGGGATTTCCCTCCAAATGCACACGTGCAACAGATTTTTTCCTGACCCTTCTTGACCATTTAAATAATCCAGAATCACTTACTTCATAACCTTGAAAAGTTTTATAGACACTCCATTTTATTTTTAATAGGTCACATCTATACTAACAAAATAAAGTGGAGAATTAGAATAATCTGGATAGTTCATACTAGAGAGATCTTTGACTGGAATTATCTTGATAACTATTTTGATTCTCCATTTTAGTTCGTTAAGGTGGACATGGCCTTAGAATCCCTAAGTTAATTCTGTCTAAATTCATTTCAAATTTTAATTTCCAAAATATAAAAAATTCACTTGACTTTCTTCCTTTTCTTTTCTTTCCTTTTTTTTTTCTGTCTCCCATCTCGATCTCTCCCGGACACACAATCACTTTCATTTGGGCCCATCTGTTTTGGTTTGTCTGACACTGCTCTTCCCCAGTGCAGCCGCTGCATTTTTTAACATGGGATACCTGTTATTTTCATTATTTAGTCCCAACCCCTATGTCTCCCTCCTCGAAATCAGTGAGCACTCCCAGTGAAGCTGGAAGCCAAGACTCAGGCGACCTGGGACCATTGACAAGGTAAGAATTGTGCCGTTACAAAGGCCATGGTTGAATGTCAATAGTACCAAAAAAAAAAAAAAGACCTAAAAACTATACTGCTTCGTTGTACACACCATTAATAAGCATGCATCTAATGTGTATACTCTGTCATTTTACCTTTAACTTTATGGCGGCTAGCTATTTTGGTGGTATAGCAATGATTTTGAACACTAAAAATTATAAACTTATATATAATCCTTCCTTGAGTGGGCTAATTAACACTTTGTTTAACAAATACAAATATTCCATCAGCGTGGGTCTAAAAGAAACCAAGAAAGGACCAAGGACAAATGGAACATATATCGGGTTCTTATTTTCCCACTTTGGTGTTGGTTTCCATGAGAATCATTCTGAATAGGATACTGAGACATCCTCACCCTGAAATTAACTTTTCAAGCATCTTTCTGTTTTCTTACTAGAATTGACTAATTTGAGAACTCAGTCACTGAAGTGTTTCTATTGTTATTACTAATGGTACTAGTAATAACATCATCAAGGTTGACTGCTTTGTTTTGTGAGTCAGCTGCCAAATTTTCATTACATTGTGGCTACTCAAAGACGATGGCAGTTTTGAAAATGAATATAGCCGCTCTCTACTTTGATCCCTGAAAGGATATCCAAAAGGAAAAGATGTGAAGAGGGAAAGGAGACAGCTCATTGAAATACGTGGAGTCAGGGTAACTTTCTGAATGCAGGTGCCTTTACCAGGATTCCACATGCAGGGACCCACATGCAGGCAATCCCCATGGGCAGGGCCAGGAGGCCTGTGGCACCTGGTTAGCAAGCTCCGTGTTTATCAAGGCCAGATGGCCTCCTCACAGCTCAGGCTGGTTAAGTTCCTGTGGGAATATGAACCAAGTTTTTCTACCTCCTTCCATTTTTCATGAGAAGCTAATAATTCAAGTGTTTATGCAATAATCTCTTAATGTTAAATGGCAATGACTCTGTTAGAAGTGGTTTGGAGCCTGATCTGGCACGGGGGTTGGCAATTTATGACCTCTGTTTTTGACTCTTAATTTTAAAAAAATTATAGCATACTTTAATAAACTTCAAATAATCAAAGAAACAATCATCCACAGCACTGTAGTTCCAACAAATCAGCCTTTGTCTTTATTTACCTTTCAGTTCTGTCTACCAGTGTGCATTCCTTGCTACCATATGTGTTACTGGGGAGAGGTATAAAATTTTGCATTTTTCTTTTTTCTCTGAACACATTATCATAAGCAACATCTTCTGAAAGTGCATTGTTTCCATATAGGCTGAGAGGTTATTGGTAAAGTATGGAAATGAGAATAGTTTTGTATTAGCTGGAATTATAGGGTTCCCCCCCCCTCCGAAACCTACATGTAATACTGGAATTATCCAACCCCTATCTGCCTGTTACTGCATTTCAGACTTGAGTATGTATTTTGTTTTGAAAGGGCCTTTTGAAACTAGTGGACACTGCTTTCAATTTGAGAAAAATGAAAGTAGAGGTTTTTGTGGGCACCAGGCTAGTTTATTTTAGCAGATCGCCTTTGTGATTTGGGGCGGCACACGTCTTCTCTCATCTTTTTCTTTGAACACTTCAAAAGGTCTTTGAGGGGAATGAAGAAGTAATAATAACACAGTTATGTAAGATCTAACACTTATATAAGAACTAGCTGGCACAATGTAATCACATTCCTTAGGGAGTCCATTGTTTCATCATTAAGTTAATATATTTGCCTCTTGCTATGCAATGATGGTGGTATGTCCATTAATGCTTAGCTTCAAGGGGTGCAGTTAGCAGCATTAAATTCTGTTACTGAGCTCACCGTTGATGAGCCCCTTTGAAAACTTTCTAGAGAACGCTGACCTGCGCTGTTAGCACTCTGGGGACAGCAGCAGTTTTTCTTTCTCAGAGACCATAACTCTTCACTGGCAAGAGTAGACAATTAAGTCAATGAATAAATTTCTTGATACATGTAGGTTTCCTAGGAATGCAAGAAAATTGGCATTGAGGAAATGATGATTTTCAGAAAAACAGAGCACAAAGTTTGCTTCAGGAGAAGGCATTGGGGATGGCATAGTAAATCTTACCCTTGTTTTGAACTTAGGAAAATTCCATGCAAATTTATGTTTTTGCTTCCATAAAATAAATATGAGAGTTGAATTTCAAAAGGATATTATATTTGCTTTTAAAATTCCAATTGGAATGTGTTTTTTTGTAGAAGAAACATTTCTGAAACAATTACGATTAACACTTCATAAAACATAAGATGGGAAAACGAGCTTGGTAATATCTAAGAATATAACTCTCTAGTCACAAATTTGCCTATCTGAGTGGAATTTGGACTTTAGAAAATGGAAAATCTTTCAGAAGATAAATCAGGAATCATATTAACACATTTGGTTCCCTAAAAGTGCACATAAATTCTGTCATTCGCTTGCCAAAATTTCAAAGCAAAACTAAAATTTTCTTTACAGAGCCAAATTGGCAAATATTTCTTATATAACCCTTGTAAGTGGTTAATTTGCAAACAGGCATACTTAATATACCTATTATAAAGAAAAAGTTAAAAATGCTTTTAAAAAATCAAGTATAACAAAATTTCTTTCATTAATTTTTAAGAGCAGTTAATTTTTTAAAAAGAATGAATAGAGAGTTGGAATATGTAATAATTTTACAACTATAGTAGTATGATTTACTTTTTTAAAACTTAACGGATCATGATTTTTTTTGTCATTTTTGCTTCTGGTGTTACTGCCTGCTTCTCATTTATAATTTACATTTGTGGTATTTTACTCTTCGTTGTAATCAATTTTGGCAGAACTAATTAATCATTTCTCTTAATTATATTCGGCCAATACCAAGCTCAATATTGTTAATGAAATATTTGAAAGACTAGTTGTACTTTTAAACTTACATATAAACCTCCCCTAAATATACTATATGCAACTGGAATCCAACACAATATTAGTGGGATACTATGCTGTGATTAATTTAGGATTGATTAAACAATTCCAAGATATTTTAGTGTAGGAAAATGTATTGTCATAATTCACTATATGGAAAGGTCAAAGAGGAAAAAATAATCATTACAATATATACTTAAATGGTACTTGAGATAGTTAAACATCTGTCTCCATATTTCAAAACTAGGAAAGGAAATATTTTTTCTCAGTCTGATACTGAATAGTAATCTCAAATCAACAGCCTGCCTTTTTTATACACAAGTGTGAAGCATTTAGTAATTTATAGCCCTTAAAGCAGAATGATTTCGGTTTAGTTGAATACATGCCTCTCTGAGTGAGTGACAAGTTCCTTGAGGGCAGAGAGTATGTGGTATTTGAGAGGTATCCGTAGAGTAGGTATTTGATAAATGTTTGTTGAATGAATCAACTATTACCTATCTATCTACACACACACACACGCCACCATATATGTGATAAATAATATCATATCATACAAACTGTTAAACTTGTCTTCCTAATCCAGTATCTCCATTTCTCCATTTCAATACATTTTCATCTTATCTAATAGGTATGCTATCTTCAGTTTTTCCCAATTACAACATAATCCCATTTGTCTATACAATTGATGTCTGGCCTTCCAGCCATCAGCATGGAGTAACCAAAACAACCCTCATATCCATGGATTTTCTCTAGGAAGGGGCGGCCCCTCCCAAGGGGACCTAAATGCCTCAGATGAAGAACTGTCTTCTGCAGCACCTAGCGGGGGAGTGAAGGTGCAAAGGAGATGGACTGGAGGCCATTCAGGCGTCCAGCTTCGTGTGCCTTTCAGACTGGAGTCCGGGTCGAAGGTGCAAGCGTCTGCAGAGCCGCTGCTGCTCGCTGTGAATGCTAGGCCTCCGTACAGTCAATATTAAGTTTCCTGTTGACAGAATACTTTGGTAAAATTCAGATATTCAATAAACTCTGCTTTTTGTGTTCTACCACCTAGTGAACGCCCCAATAAGGACATGGGGATTATTTGTGGTCAGTCTGTGCTGGCAGTACCTGGCTCCCGTTTTCTTTCCTTGGTGATTCTGGTGGAGGAAAATGTGCTCAGAGGCCGCGTGAGCTTAGTGCCCAGCAGAAAATCCTCAGGGCTTTCCCCCTTATCCACAGTCAGCTTCCAGAGGATTCTCTGGCACGACAGAAGCCTCGCCGGATTTTCGACCCTTTTTTGATGGGAACATCGCTTTCTTCTGAGGTGCTCCGTTGAATCAGAGGCTAAAGGGAAGACAATCAGGTTTTAGTAAGGGTGAAAAAGTACAATGAAAGAACACAAAACCTTGGAGGACATTTAATAAGACTATTAACAGTCTCTTTGGAAATTAAAGCAAAGTGTATGCTCCAGGGTTTCCTCTTTGTGTAGCACATTACCTGGTTGGTTAAACGTTTTCATCATGGTCTCCCTGTCAGTGTACTGTGCGTACCCGTAAGGTTAGAGCAACACAGTAAGCATCTCTTTTAGTGGGGGTTGCTGAGCTTTCCCCTGGGGAAACTGCTTGCTGGACAGCAGCTTTGTGATGCGAAGTCTTACATTTCTTTTCGAATTCAGGTTCGAAGGCCCACTCCATGTTAGGGCATTGATGTTAGGCAATAAGGAAGATTCTCACATAGTAAGTTAAGAAAAGAGGCTTTGAAAAAAGAGCCTGATACATGTGTTTATTGCACCATTCCAGTTTTATCCCTGATATCCAAAAATCTGCATCATTATCATTGCCAGTCCTAAGTAAGGAATTAATTGAGGCCTGGAAGGAAAACGTTAACTCATTAGTTAAATGCCATCCTTAATTAGTGACTGTGACAGATTGAGAGATATGATGGATTTTAAAATGTCCTTATTACCCAGTGGATCACTTTGGGAAACAGCATATAGGAAATCCGTATTTGAGGAGAACATTGACCCGAGACTTTCTGTTGGGCACCGTGCTCACATCGGCCAAACTGCTTTCCCCATCTGACTCGTGACCAGTCACTTGTTTGGCAGAGAACCTGCGGGACCCCGG